AAGGGAGGTTGCAGGAAGTGAGTGATGTTCTTTGTGAAACACAGAATGTGTTTCAGCAAGTCCTTATCTGGAACCCACAAGTGACAACAGTTGTTCATTTCCTAAAGCCTCCAGACAAATGCAGACTTTCCAACAATGCTACAACTTAACTCCAAAATATAAGGTGGTGTGATTCCAGTGCAAATAATTGCATATATAGAGTCCTCACCATGCTTTAGGTCTTCTCTTCTGGTCAAGTAGAGAAGGCTGTTTTCAGTGTAGATTTTTATTCCTTGCCTGTTCCTGATGTAGGTCTTCACGCACCCCTTTTTCCCTGGCACCATTTTTTTGTTTGCCTCAGTTGCCAAAATGTCTTGGGCCAGCCTTGCCTACCCTTGTCTTTTTCTCGTGATCCGCTCATATGGAATTGACTTTCACCTGCTAGTCAGCCATAAACCTCTCTAGCACTTCAGCCTGCCCATCTTGCCCTTTGAATCCTATATAAGTACTATAGCTTATCTTATGCCAGGCATCCCCAAACTCAGCCCTCCAGATGTTTTGGGGTTACAATTCCCATCATCCCTGACCACTGGTCCTTTTAGCTAGGGATGAGGGGAGTTGTAGTCCCAAAACATCTGGAGGGCTGAGTTTGGGGGTGCCTGTCTTATGCCATATGTCCTCTAAGGCACTCACCTGCAAGGTATTGAATCCATTTTCAGCGCCATCGGTGAATGGCGGAGTTCCTCCGACCGGAGGAACTGGCTCCGTGGAAACTGGGTCTTCCCGCCGCGGCGAAGGTGGGGACCCACTAGAAATCCCAGGCGGAGGAAGCCTGGGAACGTGGGGTTCGGCAGGGCACCTGGAGCGCCCCCCTACTCACGGGGAACCCCTTTTTGGGATTCCGGAGTGAAGTGGGGTGAGCGGCGCGGTGCTGCGAACTGACTGCTACTTTCACAGAGTGAAGCCGCACAGCAATTGCCGGAGAGCGCTGACTTTTTCCTGTGGACAATTGGATCTAAAACAAGTACCCGTGAGTAGAAACGGAAAATTGGATCAAGAAATATCTTAATTTGACATCGAAGCGGGAAGGTTCAAAACAGGAAGTCCGCCTTCCGCTTTTGTATATAGACTGAAGCAAAACCTTGTAAACTAAAGCCTGGAACGTCGTTAAAAAGCCTAAATTTCCTTCATTTACAACTACTGAAACCCCCTTGGAAGCAGGAGAAAAGGGGGGGGGGGGACTTTGTGTAACGCCTGCAGGAGAGGGAGTGAAGAAAGATAAGTTTCCACCATCTCTAACCTGGGAACGGGGTGTCAGAGACAGAAATTGTTGGAGAGGTTCATTGACTGTGAATGGAATATTTTGACAGATAGTTAAAGAAGAGAAATAAACTGATTCCAGTGTTGCCTTTTGCATTCTGAAGAAACAAAATATCTGAAAAAATGAAAGTAATTTTTCTTTGTTGGACTTCCCTTAAAAAGATGGATACAAATAGAAACTGTCTCCTCTAGAGGGAGCTTGCTAAATTGTTGCTGCAGCCACAGCTGTGAGATTAAAATCATGGGATTAGCCCTTTTGACCTTGACTAAATATGAGCTGGAAGGAAGTTTTGGTGCTTGCTCTATGCAAGACAAGTGCTTTGTTGGAACAGATGCATGAGAAGATGGATCTGATGAATGAGAAAATGGATTTGATGACTGTTGTGGCCAATAACTGTGGACAATTAGTGAATAGTGATACAGAAATCATCCAGGGTCCAACTCAAGAACCTGTATTGATTGGACAAGTGCAGAAGCCAATGGAGGAGGCTGCGGTTGCACCTCAAATAATACAAATGGAGAGGCCCAAGGCCCCACAAGAGCATAAGCCGTTGTTTTTGAAGATTGAAGTTGGATGGGGGTAGGTCAAGGCTTTGGAAACGGTATAAGTGCAATTTATTCAGAACAAAAGGCTAAATTAATTGTTAACAACGTGGTGACGGAGGAATTTAAGATAGAAAAAGGGACACGACAAGGTTGCCCAATCTCCCCGTTGCTTTTTATATCGGTCCTGGAGGTCCTGTTGAATATGATTAGAAGGGACCAGTTGGTTAAAGGTATACAAGTCGGAGCTAAACAGTACAAATTGAGAGCATTTGCAGATGACTTAGTATTGACATTACAGGAGCCAGAATCTAGTACCAAAAGAGTTTTGGAACTGATTCAAGAATTTGGTCAGGTTGCAGGATTTAAACTGAATAAGTTAAAAACAAAGGTTTTAGAGAAAAATTTAACAGCGATTGAGAGAGAGAGGTTTCAGAATGAGACAGGTTTAACAGTGGTTAAGAAAGTGAAATACCTGGGGATTAACATGACAGCTAAAAATGGGAACTTATTTAAAGACAATTATGAAAAATGCTGGACTGAAGTGAAAAAAGATTTAGAAATTTGTTCAAATTTGAAGCTTTCACTGCTAGGCCGTATTGCTGCGATAAAAATGAATGTATTGCCTAGAATGTTGTTCTTGTTTCAAACATTGCAAGTTTTGGACAAAATGGATTGTTTCAAGAAGTGGCAGAGAGATATTTCTAGATTTGTCTGGCAGGGCAAGAAGCCTAGAATAAAATTTAAAATACTAACGGACGCAAAGGAAAGAGGTGGATTTGCCCTGCCAGACCTTAAACTTTATTATGAATCAGCAGCTTTTTGCTGGCTGAAAGAGTGGCTACTTCTTGAAAACACAGACATTTTGGATTTAGAAGGTTTTAATAATGTATTTGGATGGCATGCATATTTGTGGTATGACAAGGTCAAAGCACATAAAGCATTTAAAAATCATATTGTCAGGAAAGCATTGTTTAATGTCTGGATAAGATACAAGGACCTACTTGAAAATAAAACCCCAAGGTGGTTGTCACCGATGGAAGTGAAAGCTTTGAAAAAGCTCAATATGGAGGCCAAATGGCCGAAATATTGGGAAATTTTGGAACAAGAAGGAGACAAATTGAAATTGCAGAGTTTTGAAAAACTAAAAAATAAAGTGCAAGATTGGCTTCATTATTATCAAATAATGGAGGCATATAATTTGGACAGGAAAATTGGCTTCCAGGTAGAAAAATCAAAATTGGAAACAGAACTGTTAGAACCCAAAACCAAGATTTTGTCAAAGATGTATAACTTGTTGTTGAAATGGAATACTCAAGATGAAATGGTGAAATCTGCTATGATTAAATGGGCACAAGATGTTGGACATAACATAATGATGGCTGACTGGGAACAGTTATGGACCACAGGTATGAAGTTTACGGCATGTAATGCCTTAAGAGAGAATATTATGAAAATGATATACAGGTGGTACATAACCCCAGTCAAGCTTGCAAAAATCTATCATTTGCCCAATAATAAATGTTGGAAATGTAAAGAAACTGAAGGCACATTCTTTCACCTTTGGTGGACGTGCCCAAGGATTAAGGCTTTCTGGGAGATGATCTATAATGAAATGAAAAAGGTATTTAAATATACCTTTCTGAAGAAACCAGAGGCCTTTCTCCTGGGCATGGTTGGCCAATTGGTGCCAAAGAAGGATAGAACTTTTTTTATGTATGCTACAACAGCAGCAAGAATACTTATTGCAAAGTATTGGAAGACACAAGATCTACCCACCCTGGAAGAATGGCAGATGAAGGTGATGGACTATATGGAACTGGCGGAAATGACTGGCAGAATCCGAGACCAGGGAGAAGAGTTGGTGGAAGAAGATTGGAAGAAATTTAAAGACTATTTACAGAAATACTGTAAAATTAATGAATGTTAGAATGATGTCAGAATCAAGTTACATGGTTTTAGCAGCAATATTACAAAGGAGTATGTAAAAATGGATTGTTAACAGGTGAGAATCTAAAGTTACAATATATTAAGTTAAAGGATTAGGATAAAAACAAAGAGGGAAAGGATTTGCTGAATTAGCTAACTGGATTGGAATACAAAAAAAGGGAGGTGTGAGGAGGTCAGGGAAACAAGTAAATGAAAGACAAGACATGGAAAGATTGATTTGTTTTTAAGTGCTTTTATTTTTCTGTATTTTGTATTTTTTCTTTTTTTTCTTTTCTTTTTCCTATTTTTGTAACCTTTTTTTGAAACTTCAATAAATATCATTTTCAAAAAAAAAAAAAAAGAAGAAGATTGAAGTTGGAATGGGCCAGGGGGAGTCTGGAGCTGAGGAGGCTTTTGACTTTGGAGAGACTTTGAAATATGCTCGCAAATATTTTTTGGATTATATTGATGACTGTGGGGAGGGGGACTGTGGGGAATGGGCTGATTTGATGAAGGGAGACGGAGATAGCTTTGGGTTGGAACCCCCCAGAGACCTACTCCTCAACAAGAAAGGAAAGAAATTAAGAAAGAGACCAACAAAAGACAAGGAAAAGTGCAAGTATAAACAAGAAGAAGAAGATCTGCAGAAGGGACATGGAAGAGACTTAAGGGCCTCGGACATAAGGCTTCCAGGTTGATGGACTAGATGGAATGGACAGTAAGGACTGACACGACCTGAGACCAGGAAGAAGAGACGTTGGATGAAGATTGGAAGAAAATTTATACAGAAAACTTTTTATTTAGGGAATTAGCCTAAAATTAATGAATATTAGGGAAAATGTTGGAATGAAACTATATGACTCTAGCAGAAATGATATCAGGGGTTATGTATAAATGAGTATTAAGTTTCAAGCTTTAAGGTATTTTATGGTAAGATAAGGTTAAATAAATTAAGGTAATTTGAATAACAGAATAGGGGGAAAGATGGAAAGGATCTGTCGAGTTAATTAATAGGTTAAATTGTTAAGATAAATTATTTAATAAAAATTGAGAAAGATGGAAAGAATTTGCTGAAATAACTAACTAAACTAGAATACAAAAAGGAAGGTGCGAGGAGGTCAATGAAACAAGCAAATGGAAGTTATATGGGATTTGTGTCTTTCTTTTTTCCCATATTATTCACTGTATTGATGTATTGGTTTTTATGTTTTGCGTTTTTTCTTCTTTTTATGTATTGTAGTGTTGTTTTTTCTGTAATTCTGAAATTATTAATAAATATTATTTAAAAAAAAAGAGAGAGAAATAGAGAAAGTAAAAACTCTGATTGCAGAGATAGATCTGAACAAAAATTTATGGATCCCAGTTGTTTCCCAAAGCCTGCTAATTCTTTGACACGTTCGTTGTTTAAAACTGGGGGGCCTGCTTTTAGCACATTTATCAAAATGGATTAATCTCTTTTATTCAGCATGTGTGTGAGATGTCCTAGTGATTTATAGAGCTGGAAATGAAGCCCAGCAGACTTAGTAAAAATTTGGTGGTTATTATTGAAGTAATTAATTGCATTTCTTACACTTGCAACTGATTGATTGCATTTGTACCACTGTGACTCTGCTTTATTATTAGGGGGGGAGTGTGTGCAATTGGGTAAAGTGCAGCATATCAAATCCCCATATCATTCCCTTTCAAAATATGCAGCATAATTTTGAGAAATTATTTGCTTCATCAAGGGCGCAATCTTCTGCTCAAGTTCTGCTGGCTGAGGTGGTTTCAAGAGCAGTAATAGCTCTGTTATGCCAGCAGAACTTGAGGCAGGTCACTGGCATGCTAGATGGAGGGCCCTCTCGCCAGAGTTTGGCTGGTGTAATACTCTGCCAGTGGAACTGCATTGCCTGCAGAACAATGAAAAAGCGATTCATCTGTGGGTTGGATGTGGTTAGCTTGGAGAAGGGGAGATTTCCAGGGATGTATCTGTCCTGGCAGCGGTGTGCCTGGCTTCTGCCAAATCCTATACCTGAAATAGAGTGTCTCACCCCTTCTATACCTGATTGTTCACTGAGGACCGCCTGCAGGCACCATCTTATTGCCATTCCACACAATATAGGAATCAGGCCTCTGGTGTTCTGACACCTTCCCTTTGGAGTTCACTCCTGTTAAATATTAGCACATGTACAGTGGTACCTTGGGTTACAAACGCTTCAGGTTACAGACTCCGCTAACCCAGAAATAGTACCTCAGGTTAAGAACTTTGCTTCAGGATGAGAACAGAAATCATGTGGCGGTGGCATGGTGACATTGGCCATTACCTAAAGTGGTACCTCAGGTTAAGAACAGTTTCAGGTTAAGAACAGACCTCCAGAACGAATTAAGTTCTTAATCCGAGGTACCACTGTATTTTCGGCACTTACTGATGACCTTTCTCTTCCAGTAAACCTTTTGAGTATAGATCTTTCCCAATCTGTATCTGTAGTGGAATTGTTTTAAGACATTTGCCACTCTTGACTCCTTTGGGAGAAATGCTACTCCTACTCCTACTCCTACTACTAATAATAATTGGAACCTTTTTCAGGCCAAGAGGAAGTTTCTGGGAGCTGCATGCCAATAGTGGGTGGGGCCAAAGGCAAAGGTAGGTGGGGCAATAATTTTTTTTACTTTGCTTAGTAGACTACATTCCAACCACACAAAATTCGTAGGTTTCTGTGCACACACCTCTACCCAGGCAGACAAGAGGCATTCTAGTCACATTCTAGTGAGGCAAAAGCATTTGAGAAGGGTGCAGAGTGTGTCCCAATGACTGGATAGTGAAGCTGAATTTGACTCCTGGGCCTGAGGTTCCCTTCCCTTGCTGTATCCCATCAGCTAGTAGATTATTCATATAGAAAGGACATGTCCTTAATTTCTATACATAAGCTTTGCTTGAAAGTGTGGGAAGAATTTAACAGTGCAATATGCCAATCATTTTGTCAGCACACACATTTCAGCTTGCCAGATGGAACAATCCTCCCTCTTCCTTCCCTCAGACACAAAGCAATTTCAGGCGGTGGGGGTGCCCACTTCAGGAGGAGGGGGAAAACACAATGGCACAAACAGAAGTTGTTTTGCGGGTTTCCAGTGATGGGACTCATTAGGTGAATTCTGCCCCACTGGTGGGTAGTATCTGAGTAAATCATATTCAGAGTAGTAGACCCACTGAAATAACTGTACCAATTGAAATAAATGAAATAAATGTAACACAAAGATTGAGATTAAACAAGATATTAGCCCCAGTAGGTTTTAGTGTGTTGTTCTTCTTTAATAAAAAAATGTTATCTTCTGAAATATATTACCAAAATGTAGTTACACTCTTTATTATTTTTTCTACTCTGTTTTCTAAAATTTACAAAGGAGAACAATATCATTCAATATTAATTATTTAACTCTCTGCCCCCACCCCAATATATTATTAAGAAATGGCTCAGCACTGAAAAATCTCCTGCCACCCCAACCCACCCACACTGGTGTGTCTAAAAATAGTGAATAGCATCTGGAGTGAAGCATTCCTTCTGTAGCAGAAAGAGCAGTCAAACTGGTATTTCAATAAATCCTTGTCCGCACAGGAAATAACATGCACTGAAGTGATTGGAGAACTGGAGATCCATAATGTTTTTTACAGGTAGGTGAAATCAATATATTAATACCTTGGGGGGTAAACAAGTGGAAGCATTTTATGGAGGGTCACTGGGTGCAGCCAAGGAGAGAGATTTTTTCCTTTAATAACTGTGCAGTGGAGGGAATTTCAACATAGGCATTTATCAGCTGCCTTTTCCAATTAAATATGGCCCAAGGCAAAATATAAAATAAATATAAAGATACATATAAAATGAACGATAAACTCGTACAAGAAAAACAACACAACAACAACAACTATACAAACCATAAATAGATAGAAATCAGCAGTAGCAAGTATAAAATGTAAACAAGAAAAAGAACCCCATCCAGTTGAAGGTGAGTTACGGAATTCAAAATAGAACTGGGGGGCCTGATGAATTTGCCTTGGTTATCTCCCACTTGGGCTACTACTGTGTGGGGCTACCTTTGAAGGTGACTACAACTAATCCAGAACAGACTGGTGACTGGGAGTGGCCGCTGGGACCATATATAACACTGGTCCTGAAAGACCTACTTTGGCTCCCAGTACATTTCCGAGCACAATTCAAAGTGCTGGTACTAACCTTTAAAGCCTTAAATGGCCTCAGTGCTGTATACCTGAAGGAGCGTCTCTGCCTACAGCATTCAGCCTGGACACAGAGATCCAGCACCAAGGGCCTCCTGGCAGTTCCCTCACTGTGAGAAGTGAGGTCACAGGGAGCCCGGCAGAGGGCCTTCTCAGTAGTGAAGCCTGCCCTGTGGAATGCCCGCCAGCCAGATGTCAAACAGATAAACTACTATAAGACTTTTAGAAGACATCTGAAGGCAGCCTTGTAGAGAGATGTTTTTAATGTTTAATGTTTTATTATGTTTTTACATATGCTGGAAGCCACCCAGAGTGCCTGGGGCAAGCAGACCTATAGACACCTTCTGCTTCCCATTTAGCAGACCATTTGCTGTGCATGTAGAAGGACCTAGGTTCAATCCCTGATAACTTCAGGTAGGGCTGGGATTGTCCCCTGCCTGAAACCCTGGAGAGCCACTTCCAGTACTGACTGGATAGTACTGACAATATTGAGCAAGATGGACCATTGGTCTAGCACTGGCATAAGGTGCTTATCTGGTGCTTCCTGTGGTTCCAGGGATGCTCTCCTGGAGACCACAGGATGTTAGATTGGGTGGATCAGTCATTGCGTCTAAGTTGCATAAAGCTGATATCAAAAGAAGAGAGGGACAGCTCCCAAAGATGGAAAGTGTATTTCTGTGGGTACCCACTACAGACGTTTGGAGTTCTGAAGCAAATAAATTGGCTGGTTTGACTGAAAAGCATTAAAGTGAAATTGCCATCTAGAAAGTCCCAAAGCTCCACTTTTACTGTGTCTTTACAAAGCAGTTTTATTCAATCTCGACTCTTTCCCTGGATATATAAAAAATTCAGTGAGCATTTACCATTAAAAAAAAAAATCTTCAAAAAATATATTGGGAGGAAAAAAGCCTTGGGAGTATTACCATTTTTTATGGCAACCGTTGTGCCTAATCAAGTTAGATTAAAGGAGCAATCCTGTTCTAGAGTTATGCAGGCTGAAGGGTTCGGGGATTTTGAAGAATCCCTATTATGTAAGCAGAATGCTAGGCACATAGGCCAACGGAGCTCCCTGATACGCCAGCAGGAAAATGCTCATGGGGACCAGATCCATCCATGAATATAGTCCATCAGAACAATCCAAATAGGGCAGAACTGTTGGTGGAAAGTGAAAAGCACCATGAAGGAGCATGTTTATTCATTTCATTTCAAAACCCTCTTCCATCAGTTAAAATTCCAACCAAGATAGAATGGCAAGCTAAAATGGTAGAATATCTAATGTTAGCGAAAAAAATGGAACCAGTGAGAGGAGCCTCAAAAAAGGAGGTAGACAAGGAGTGGAAAATGGTGAGAGAATATCTCCAGGGATACTGCAATAGTAGAGGCTTTCTGACGCTAGAAGAATGAGTAACAATATATGGTATTAATACAAAAAACAATGATGAAATTAAATAATGGATATAAGTAGGAAGACAGTATATGGATCTAATGGTTACAGCAGGAATAGTATTATGGACTTAATCGGAAGTATTCACATTCCTTTTTATTTCTGTTTGTTACATTGTATATGGACATATTAAATTATATGTAGGTAGCAACGATTAATTGAATTGGAACACAGATAGGAGCAGTTTGTAAACTTAAATTCTACCTTTTTCCTTTATGGGAAATTCTTTGCTATTTGTATTTTCTTTCTTCTTATTATTTTCTTTGTTTATAAACTCAATAAAGATAATTTTTTTAAAAAAATCCAGGGTGGTTTACAGCAACTACATTAAAACCTCAGACAACAACGAGCACAGCAGAGAGATCCACAGACAGCAGCAATTCTAAGCTGAAACATTGGGAGCTGTGTGTGAGGGGTGATGCAAACAAGGGCATTGGGCTTGCATGCTCATGTCTGTGAGTTGAGGGCATCATTACCAACAGAGTCTCAGATTGGTGGGCATTGGCACCATTTCCAAAGAAGCTGTGAGTGTGTCCTTCATTTTCTGCCATTTTTGTATTTTCTGTATTTGTGCCTTTATCTTCTCTTCCCTGGCTGTGTAGACATTGGGCATGGCAGATTTTCTGACAGAATACCTGCGGTGTATTTCCAGCCCTGGTGTGATGTTAGTATAGAGCTGCTTTAGATTTACAACTAATTGAAGGTGTTTGACCATCTCTTTCAATGCAGCAGCGGGAAATCTTCCGCTTGTAGGCCAGTATTTTGTTGCAAATTACGTTGATCTACCTGTGACATACGTCAACTGCATTAGTGATCTTAAGCTGGTGGGTCTGGACCCACTAGGGGGTCATGACTTGATCCAAAGTGGGTCACAACAGGAGCACTACCCACCATGCAAATGTATAGTAAATGTTTAAAAATGATTTGCATCTGAAAAGCCTGAAGATACCTAAATTACATAGATTTTACTTGTTATGCTATTAATTTTAAGGCCTGACATAAGCAAAAGTGTACCAAATCTTGCTAATACCAAACTAATTTAGGGATTAGTAAGGATTATCTCTGCAGGATGAGTTATGAGAACTACAAAAAAAAAGTGTGTATGAGTGACAGAGTGTGAATGGGACTGTTTCAACCTTGGTCTAATTCAAGAATTTGAATGCAGTGCTGAAACTTATGGTTCTGTTGCAGGAAGAAATAACCAATGGCCTTCCGGATGTGGTTTGACTCCAGCTCTCGCTCCTCTAGCTGCCTCTTCAGCTAACAAGGATATTGTTAAAAAAACATGGAGTATAAAAGAGGATTGATTGCACATTTTAAAATATAGTATCCCCCCCCCCCCGCCCAGCATCTACTAGATAGAACATGCCAGCCACAAACCAACCAAAATTAAGAACAGTTTAAGACCCACTGATATCAGTGGAGAGAGATTTAAGCGCTTCAAAGCCTGTCTCTGATAATTGCCAAGTAGTAGCTTGGGGGTGGGGGTAAATCAACACTATCTGCAAGTCTGTGCTCACTTACCTGATGCAAAAACCTCACTGGATACAAAGGAGTTTTCTTCTGATGAGATGTGCATAGGATTGTGTGGCTAGTTATTTTGTATGCTAGGATTTTTCTTCCATCTGCATTTATTTTCATGCAGGCATTTATGCATAGCATCTGTGTTTTGCTTTTTGCCCAGGTCTCCAAAAGTAAAGGTATTTGGTACTGAAAGGATCTTTGATGTGGTGGACAATGGTGAGACTGTCTCCTTTCCAGGATGCCTATTTAATTCTCGTGGAGCTGGCTTTTGAAATCGAACCCCAACTGTAAGAATATTCTCCACATCAGCATGGTACAAAAGCATTAAATAATTGTAACATCTAGGCAAGCGATGCAAACATCAATTAAACTCTGTTGTATAACCTGATAAATTATTCAGTCTACTAATGGGATCTGGTTTTTTCCAAAGTGTGGTTGAGTATCAAATATTGCTAGCATAGACTGATACACTTAGTATAATAAACACATACAATTATTCACTCTTGCTCAACCCCCCCGCCCCCAAATCTATCCACCCATGCCCAGCTTAGGACTTCTGTATGAGAGTAGACACTAAACCTACACTGTTTATGAAACTAAACCCACAAGCCCACACTGTATAGTCAATGTGAGCCTCGAGAAGTAAATAATCTGGCTTAAAGACATTTCTGCGGCTCTCCTACAACTGAATCCACCCACAGAACTGTAGGATGATTTGCTGTAGATTCACTGGCCTCATCCTTTTTGTTTGTATGTGGAGGAATTAAAAGCAATATTTCCATTACTGAGAGCAGATGAGTTTTGATTGCTACTTTTGGCCCTCATCTGGTGACATTTGCTCTCCATGTGTGTGTGGGCCCTGCAGGATCAGGCCAATGGCCCATCTAGTCCAGCATCCTGTTCTCACTGTGGCCAACCAAATGCCTATGGAAGCCCAGAAGCAGGATCTGAGTGCAACAGCGTTCTTCCCTCTTGCGATTCCCAGCAACGGGTGTTCAGAGGCATGAATATAAACAGAGGTAGAGCACAGCCATTGTGACTAGTAGTCATTGATGATACTCCATGAATTTGTCTAATACTCTTCTAAGCTGGTAGTCAGCATTACCTTGTGTATTGTGGGATTATCCACTTGAAGTTCTCTGAAGTTTTTCAAAGTCCTATAAATCTAGCAATTGGTACGTTTAGGGCAGCTGGTGCACACTTCATACACACAAGCATAAAGTGCATTTGTGGCTCTAATGAGCACAGATAATTTGTTTGTTTTAAATAGTTTTAGGCTGCCTTTCTGGGGAAAGGTCCATCCCAAGTGGCTTACAAACAAGACGACAGATTTAAGGGCAGCGCAACGCTGCAAAATGTAAAACATTAAAACAACTCCAGATCAACACTTGATGCAAAACAGTACAGAAGCAGAGAGAGAACATAACCGGCTATCATCCAACTAACAAACATCATGCCTGAGAGGCTAGTTGAAAGAAAGGTGTCTTCAGGCTGTTCTGCAGAGCCTGAAATGTAAAGATTTGATGCTGGTCCAGTGGAAGGGAGCTCCACAGTCACCCTAGAGCAGGACTTCTTCCCAGTGGAGGCTGGTCCACTAGCACAAATGGAGCACAGCCCAACCAGTCTCACTCTGCCCTCAGCCAGCCCCCTCCTGCCCGCCTTCTTACAAACCTATCAACCACCACTACCTCTCCTTCCTGGCCTCTCACTTTACTGACCTAGGGAGTGGGAAAGCTGATCTTAAGAAGAGGGCAGGAAAGTATGGGTGCAAGTAGCTCAACAGCCTGGTCCTGAGATGTTTAGGGCTTTCAATGGCTTTAAAACCAGCCCTTTGGATTGGGTCCGGAAAGGCACCAGCAACCACTGATGTAATAAATGTATTACAAATGCCGACTGTCTTGCCCTAACTCTGTCAGTCACATTCTGAACCAACTGAAATGAACACCATCATTTTGTTTTGTTCCTACATGCTGGGCTTTTTGTTGAGTTCCCCCTCTTTGCTATATGAAGCATTCATTCAAGAAGTCTGTTTGGAGTATTGTTTTACGTTGTTTGTCTTTGAAAACTCTTCCCTACAGCTCTTGATTTGTAGAATTATTTGCAGAAGCACCACAGTAACACCCGAAGCAGAGCGGAGGAAGGCACGCGCTGAAGCGGAAAGGGTTTCAGGCTGAATTGACAGCAATGAAACACCTTGAGGCTCTTGCAGAAATCTCTCTGGCAAGCTTCGTTAAAGCTAAGGCAAACTCAGGGCAGGAACTGAACCGTGATCTGGATGGCTGGTTCTATCTCACACTATAAGGAATGAACCTTTGGGTCATCGGGGGACAGTTAAGGAGATCAATAGGAAATCCAAAGTAGTTCTCAGCAGCTGATCCTGCCTCAGGTGAAGCACACGATAGTGCTCTCTCTTCCCTGTGCAGAAGTTAGGGCCAGAGCTCAGTGGTATAGTGTCTGCTTGCATACAGAAGATCTCAGGTTCAGTCGCTGGCATTTCCAGACAGGGCTGGGAGAGAGACTTGCTTGAAAGCCTGGAGACCTGTGACCAGTGAGTGTGGGCAATACTAGAGTCAATGGATGAACAGTAGCTTCCCATGTATTTTCCTAAGCTGACTTCTTCTTCTTCTTCTTCTTCTTCTTCTTCTTCTTCTTCGGCGATCACTCGTAGCCGAGTAAGATTGTCTTCCATAAACATGATTTTAACAATGAGTCCATAAGTGACTATGGAGGCCAATTCTGGATCCACACGTCCTTCCACAAGGGGAACATTGGTTTCTGGGAGGGAGTTGATCACGGTGTGGATTTGCCAAGCATGCCTTCCTCTTGGCATGTTTCTCCCTTGCGTCCTGAGTTCAAGTGTCTACAAAGCCCATGACACCTTTGGTAAAGGCCCTTCTCATCAATGGTGGTGAGACAATGTGGTGTAGCGTGGGTTGCCAGTGCCTGGGACCACACAGGCGGGGTGGGAGGGAAGGAAGTAGATGGAGTATGCATACACATTCAGCTGTCCAACAGCATCCGTGTCACCCAGGAGATCGCAGCTGCAGAGATATAAAAAAGAAGAGTCGTTCCGCTATCTGGAGAGGTCACTTCCTGGTTCACATGGAGAAACTGTTTTCAAACCTTTTTTTTTGACCAACAATATTTCAATTGAAGAGTGTTAACCACATGCTTAACATTCCAATTTAAATACTAAGTTTGTTTTGAAGTGGGGAATGTGTTATACATCAGAGCCTAAGCAGAAGGTCCCTAGGTATTTCCAAATAGGCCCAGGAAAGACCCTTGGACTCTCCTTCCTTTGGAGGTTTTTAAGCAGAGGTCAGATGACCATCTGTTATGGGTGCTTTAGTTGAGATCCCTGCATTGCAGGGGGTTGACCTGGATGACCCTCAGCATCCCTTCCAATTGTATGATTCTATGTAAAAACCTGGAGAGCTTCTACCAATCAGTGCAGACAATGTTAAGCTGGATGTCCAAATGGCCTGATGACAGAAGGCAGCTTTGACTAGAGCATATCCATTTTTATGTGGCATGGTGACTCGCGGTATTTTATTCTTATTTAAAGGGAACTGATCTTACACTGCAATCCAATTATGAGCAATTTCCTCAGGACTGTGATGCGGTCTGTGCATACCTAGAACAGCTCTGTTCAATGTGTGTGCATGTCTTGCATTCTGTGACATGAAACAAAGGTAATTGGTTTTAAAGGCTGATGTTCTGTATCAATGCTTTTAATCGCTCCTGTTATTTATTTTTTGCCTGGAAGCAGGACCTGTCACTTTGATAAAGAATTTTGGCACACTTATGCTACCCTAGTAGTAGCTATAGATGAACGACAATTTTAAATGCCAAGCATGCAATGTGCACTTCTAGTAAAGCCTTTTCGTTCTTCCCCACCTCCATTCAACTCCCAACCTCCCTCCCTCTCTCCTTTACAGCGACACATGCAGGCACACACTTATTTTCATTCTGCGTCTTATCTCTCACTGTCTGGCTTGTGAATTATGTGTCTGCTCTTGTGTTTTCTGCCAGCGTTGTTTGCTCATCACAGGTTGGTCATTTTTCATCGATGGAGTTATATAAAGTCATCACATTTACCGGTTGCATTCCCAAGGCAGAAAATGAAATCTGTGTATGTCCTTTTTGCGATACAGGATTTAACCCCCTTTGGACTGGTCTCTCAAGCATATCGGAATTTAAGCCTGATACAATATGACACCGAACCCACACAACTATGTTTGCTGGATTTGACAGGTGAAATCTATCACATCAGTGCTGTATACAGCATTGCGGTTAATAGCATGATGGGAAAAAACTGGTACTGGGTTCTTAGCCATGGAGACTCACAATTTATTACTCAGCCTAGCTTCTGGAAAGTCAATACTGCACAAATATTTTAACCACCAATAAAGCTTAATTCAGGTTTCCAGCACACCTAGTTACAAAGAATGAGTCCAGTGGTTGCACTGATATTCTGCTGCTATGGTTTCCAAGGTGACAACCTATGAGGGCTCAGGTGTGATTATATACTAGTGCGTAACATATGCATATACTAGTAATTGGGAGACATTGCAGCAGAAGAGAGTTCCTTATGTTAGAAGGATGGGGTGGCTTGGAACGGGGCATTTGACGTTGCACAACTCCTTCTGCGAGAGTAAAAGGCAGCATTTCTCCCCTACCCCTGATCCAAGTGCTGGGTGGAGAGGGCTGGAAGCCCTGTCTTTTAGTTTGCATTGAAGGATTTGTGCAAAGGAAAGGGCAACATTTACACACACACACACACCACTCCTTTTACTCTCAAAGAGCAGACAAAGGCTTGTCCTTGTTCTCAGTGCTGTGGTGCTTAGCACTGAGGCCAGAGATAAAAGTGTTAGAATTCCTGCTCCATGATTGCAGTCATGGGATTTCTGTCTATCACATGACGGTGTATGTTTTGACTCCGCAGAGTGGGAAGTGACGGAGACAGGATGTTTGTGTTACTGTGTTCCATGAAGTTGGACTATTGTCCTTTGTTCTTTTTCTCTTTGCTCTCTGATGCTAGAGAGAGAGGGAGCCATGTTGCAGTGCTCCGTGTGTGTTTATATGTAAATAAAGTAGATTAGCCAAAATGCTGAGTTGCTGAGGTCTGTCATGCAAGCAGCGAAGACTCTGCGGATCCCTAAGTATGCCGATGTCTGTTGGCATCGGTCGCTGTGATGTTCGGGCAGAAGAAAGCTTTTGAAGCTCCCAAACGATCGACCAGGAGGGAGGGAACATGCCAGTTGGGCATGTGTCTCTACCAAGGTCCTACTTGAGTGTAGGACAAGTTCCTGACAACAAGATCCCCCTGCCTGCTGTTGAGAATGGATCTCTTAAAAAGCAGACAGAGGCATTATTCCCCCACCCCTCTGATCACAGCCCTGAGATCAGCAGAATTCTGTTTGCTCTTTAGACCACACTCTAAATACCAAGCACTGCACTTTATCTCTGGGTCAGATTCCGGTGGCTTGGAAGGCCACTTCTGGGCCCCAGGCTCTGCGTTAGGACACCTCTGCCTCAGTCACTATTAACAATGTGGGTTACTTCCAGTTCCCATTTTACGAGTAAGTTACTAAGCTTGATCAATGCTGTTGTGAACTAGGCCACCTAATGGCCACCCATCGCAAAAATGAGGCCTGGACCCATGTCTCCCAGCTCTGAATCTACCAAGCCTGTATGCAGGAAACTGATCTAAAACCATTTTGCTTTTCTCTTACTGAGGCTGCTCAACTGTTTCA